CGATTTTTGGGGCTGTTTGTACGACAGTTGTATTTTCATAACTAATCAATATTCAGAGCCAAGACACTTTTCATTTTGTAGAGAAATGTTTAATGTACTTAATTATGTAGTTGCAATTTTAGATTAGTTTGTAGCTTTACTGTAATAATCTCTTGAAAAAAAGATACCGTTAGCTAGACAAGCCGTGCTGTCCTTCGAACACCGAGCTAATCCGTCCAAGGAAAGTTCTCACAAAGACTTGTTGGCCAGCCGATCGCTACAGCATTCTAATGAGGAGAGATCTCAAGTATTCACAGCTTCCACCAGTTCGACCGCTGTGAAGTCAACAAGCTGAGTGCGAAAGGCAGTCATCATCATCGCAAACAAGTATAAGCAGAATAACATTAAAACTATCGATATTTCTATACTTCGCTATCGTATATTATTCTTATGGTTTATCTATACCTGAGAACTTGAACGGTACGGTTCTGAGGAATGTTATATATTTCACTCATTTTGCGATCCAAGATATACCTAACTTTCTGTTTTTTCACATTTCTCATCATCCTCATTTTTTCCATGCAAAAACTGAGTGTTTCCTACGCATACCACCAAATTGTGTTGAAGCTATTTTATTTTTTCTTTTAAAATTTGTTCACTCAATTCCCATAATTCTTGAGCTTTTCTCAAGTTATAAGCAGTTAAACTTGGTTGAGCTACTCGACAATTGGAATGGTACTTTCCAGGTTGAGCTTCATCCGACAACGCGCAATATAACGTTGTCATTGCTCCCTGACTCATTGTCTTACTAATGATAACATCGAAAAAGGCCATTAAGACTGTTAGAATCGGCGTTTGCTCGCGGGTTAGTTCAGTCGAAAGGATGCCACCAGGATGAAGTGAGTAGGCTTTGATGCCTTGGTTTCCATAGCGCCGTTGAAGTTCAACAGCATGCAAGACGTTAGCCAGTTTTGATTCAGCATATGTTGTGAGAGCATTGTATGAATTAACTTTTGCGAAATCGATATTTTCACTAACGAACTTGTGCATGACACTGCTCACGTTGACAATGCGTCCATTTGACTGAATTAGTAAAGGAAGAAGAAGTTGAGTTAAATAAAAATGACCGACTAAATAAAGATGACATATAAAGAACAAATTATTATAGAAATACAGCTTACTGTGATTTGTTCCAAAAGTACATTCGAGACCATCTTTGGTAAGTTCTTTCTTTTGTTTTGAAACCCCAGCATTGTTGATTAGAATATCTACTTTATCAATTTTTTCAGCAAATGCTTTAATACTTGATAAATCACTTAAATCTAGATGATAACCAATAACATTTCCATCAGATTCCTTGCTTAATTCTTGAGCTGTGCGTTCAGCTCTTGTTTGACCACGTATACCGACAATGACACGTGCTTGAAGTTTGGCCAATTCAACAGCAGTGACTCGTCCTATTCCTGATGCTGCACCGGTAACTATAACAATTTGACTGTTCAAATTCTTCTTTGATGTATATAAACGGCCACTTGACAAACGCTTATTAATAACAAAGAAGACAGCAACATGAGCAACCAAATATAACAACGTGTAAGGCCAGGTGGCAACAAAGAGTAGAACATAAATGAGTACCAGACTATTTGCTAAGAAAAACATAAGGGATTGGGTCTCTGGTTCACTTAGAAGTGATTTAAAGGGAAACGCCATATTTATCCTGAAGAAGTTGTTAATAATAAATGGTGATATATGTAAATGTTGAAATATGTTACTAGTAGCTGCGTTTGTTGTGTTGTTGTGTGCTTTTTTTACATTTTTGTGTTATGAGAAGAACGAGTGAACGACGAGGCAAAAGAACAGAGAACGAACTACTCGTTACATCGCTTTACCGTTCTGTGTACTGTGTACTTCGTACTTTGGTGGATGCCATATGTTATTTTGTCATTGGTGAGTAATGTCCTTCTGTAGAAAAATACTACAGAGAGAAC